TAATTAGGCTCTTTTCAAGACTATAAAAGGAATGATTGTTCACACGCTCGTTGCAGGAGTCAACGTATTTACTAGAGCTGGAGAACTCTTGTGGCTAGCTTGGCAGGCTGGGTTGCTGCCAACGTCTAGTCTGTGCTGGATTGCTGCCAAGGGCTAGTCTGTGTGTTAATAAATCCTTGAAGTATCTTTGAGTCGGCATGCTTTGGTTTGTGAAGAGGGTGGCGGTCAGAACAGAATCTATATGTCACACACAATTGTTGATTGAGTTCAATTGGTCTGAAGTCATTAATTTCATTTAGGACTTACTTTCTCTATGATGGTTCTAAAATGCAAAAAATAGTAAACCGAACCCTCTTCTACCACCACTGATATGTCAAGTTGTCTTGGTTTGCCTGTCAATCTTCCAAATTCAAGATAAATTTACTGGTGAAAATGCTTTCCAAGCAAGAGATATTAATGCTAGAAATTAGATATGCAATATTCTTCTTTGAAGTTCACTGAATAGTTCATGTTATTGCATGTCTTCTTTATCTTCCATCACCACTGATGCAGACTTCTTTTATTTCTCAGTAGTAATGAGACCTGTTAGCATAAAATTACCTACTCGGAAACTTTGGATTATGGCTGAAATCTAATACTTAATTAAGTCTCTTCCCTTCAAACCTTTAGATTTATTCACAAAAAATTGTTCTAATTTCCTCAGTATAAATATCCAGCATTTAATTGGTAAGGAGATCTCAATTCTTCTGAAAGTAATTCTATATTTTAGGACATACATTAATTTCTGTCTCTAAAGTGCTTTGTGTTTTAAGGAAAAAAAACCAGAGGTTTTATCAGTTCACTGTTAAACATCTTACAATCCATTATTAAACATGTTAAATATTACACAAGTTATAAAATAATGATGGACATTTATCACAGAAAATTATAGGTGAAAAGGCAAATACCTGGGAAGAGGGGAAATATTTTAGCCATCTTTCTATGTGGACAGCATACCAGCCAGGAATCAAACATTTCTTCTGTAAGCCCTTTAGTTCAGATGGTGCCCCATCATTTGAAGCAATTACTTCATAGAAATTGAACTTGAGAGCAGTAGAGTCCTCATGAGAACGCTGATGCTAATTGGGAAAAATCCAGAGTTAAATGACCACAAGATAGATAGCTGAGAGTTTTCTAATAATTTTTACCAGTCCCCGTTATCACGTCTAGTGTCAGGGTTCCAAATACGATCCTCAATAAGAATCCGAGGCTAAGGAGAGGAAGGGGAAGGGATACAGAGAAGTAGGGGAGAGGTAAGGGAAGAAGGAAGGGAAAGGAGACAAGGAAAGAAGAAAGTAGAGGAGGGAAGGAGGGAGAGAAAGGAAGAGAGGAGATGAGAGGAAGAGAAGGGAAGGAAGATAGAGAGGAGAAGAGGAAGATGAAAGGGGAAGAGGAAGAGAGGAGGAGGGGAGAGGTAAGGGAAGAAGCAGAGGTGGGTTCCTACCAGTTCGCACCTATTCGGTAGAACCGGTTCATCAAATCTACCGAACCGGTTAGAAGACGTTCCACCAGTGGACCCGGAAAGCAGGCCACACCTACAGAAGAGGTTCCAAAATGTTTTGAAACCCACCACTGGTCCTTGGATATGATTATTCTA